ATTATCTTTAGCAAAATTTTACTTGCATATGATATTGATGATATTGTCCAATGATTTCTACATTCCACTGTTTCACCTCTCTTTGAAATGGGCACAAATATGGATCTCTTCCAATCAGTTGGCCAGGTAGCTGTCTTCCAAATTCTTGGCATAGATGAGTGAGTGCCTCCAGTGCTGCATCAGGTTTTTTAAGAAGATTTCAATACGTATTCCATCATTTCCCAGAGCCTTGTTCTTCCAATGCTTTCAGTGAACCTTGGATTTCTTCCTTCAGTATCATTGGCTCTTGATCATGTGCTATCTCTTTTTGGTACAGTAACTGGGAATTCTTTCCATCTTCTTTTGATGTTTTCTGCATCATTCAATATTTTGTCCATAGAATCCTTCAAAATTGCAAATCGAAGCTTGAATTTTTTTTCTTCAGTTCTTTCAGCTTGAGAAATGCTGAGCATGCTCTTCCCTTTTGATTTTCTAATTCCAGATCTTTGCACATTTCATTATAATACTTGACCTCGTTTTCTTAAGCTGTTGTTTGAAATTTTCTGTTCAGCTCTTTTACTTCCTCATTTCTTCCATCCCCTGTCTCTTTTGGCAATCATTTTGATGTTTTCCTTCCTTCTTCTCTTCTTAACATCCTTTTGTCTTCTTCCTGTATGATGTTCTTGATGTTATCCACAACTCTTCTGGTCTTCGATCATTAGTGTCTAATTTATCAGTTCCATTCTTGAGATGATCTCTAAATTCGGGTGGGATGTATTCAGCTGGTTTTCCTTGTAGGTGTATGGCTATTAACTGGTTTTCCTTGTAGGTGTATGACTATTAACCTATCCCAGACAGCATTATACTTCAAGATAGATTTTGAAATGTTCTTTTTGCTAATAAATGCAAAGTCATTTGTCTTCATCATTCCTGGCATGATAAACCATGTGATTGTCAAATTCAAAATGGCCATTACCAATCCATTTCCGCTTACTGATGCCTAGAATATCCATTTTTATGCATTCCATTTCATTCTTGACAGCTTCCAATTTTCCTAGATCAATACTTCATACATTCCATGTTCCAATTATTAATAGACGTTTACAGCTGTTTCTCATTTGAATTGTGCTCCTGTTTCTCATTTGAATTGTGCTCCTTCAGCAAATGAAGGTCACAAAAGCTTTACTACATTCACCTCATCATGGTCAGTTCTACTTTGAGGAGGCAGCCTTTCCTCAGTCGCATTCTGAGTGCCTTCCAACCTGAAGGGCTCATCTCCTGGAACTAGATCTGACAATATTCATGTTTCAATACTCTGGTGCTATCTGACAGTGTTCCACTGCTCTTCATAAAGTTTTCAGTAGCTAAACATTCTGAAGTAGTCCATCTGTCATTCTTCCTACTCTTAAGGTCTGCAAGCTCAACTGAAACCTGTCTACCATGGATGTACTCTGCAGGTATTTAAAATACTGGTGGCATAGCTTCCAGCATCAGAGTAACATGCTAACCACCAGTCCAACAGACAGACGAGTGGTGGAATATGTACATAGTCATAATCATATAACCAATGAATTGTGATTTACTTAAACAAGTTGATACAGATATATTAAGTGGTGGAGGATGGGGAAAAAAATCACACATTATAAGACAGTGTAAATTATAATTACAGATCTTATTTCTTATGTTGTTGTTGTGAAATGCTGTCGAGTCAGTTCCAACCCATAGCAACCCTGTATAGGGTTTCCGAGGAACAGCTGGTGAGCTTGAACCGCCAACCTTGCAGTTCAAACAGCTTTGCAGTCTGGTGCATTAAACCACAGCGCCACATCAGGACTCCTATAGCAAGAAGTAAAATAATAGCACAAACTGAAAAAATCTAAAACTAGCAGTGTAAGTAGGAGTCCTGCTATTGCGGTGGGTACACAGTGGGCTGCTAACTACAAGGTCAGCAGTTCAAGTCAACCAGTTACTCCACTGGAGAAAGATGAGGCTTTGTGCTCCCATAAAGATTTGTAGTCACAGAAGCCTTAAGCAGGGTTGCTGTGAGTCAGAACCAACTCCATAGCATGTAGCAGCAGCAGCAGCAGTATAAGCAGATAATGTTAAAATATGGAAATAAGTATCAGAAGAGATAGCTTAAAAGTTAAGAAGAGGTTTCCCTTGGGAAGAAAAACTTGAGTGGAGAGAGCTGGGGTAGGGTCTGCTGTTTTCCATTAAAGTTTCTTGTTGATAAGTGCCGTCAAGTCAGTTCCAACTCATAGCAACCCTGTATAGGGTTTCCGAGGAGCGGAAGTTGAGTTTGAAGCTCCAACTTGTGGTTCAAACTGACCTTGCAGTCTAGCGCATTACCCTGCAGCATCACTGATACTGTTTTTTTTTAATGTGTTGATAAGAATAAAAAGAAATACAATTCATGTAGTATTTTGTATGTTTGAAATTTTTAGTTGTCAGAAAGGAGGGATAATTTTCATAAGTATTGTAGTTTAACATCCCAAGTCCTGGTATGGTGCTGCGAGTTAATGGGCTGGAACACAAGGTCAGTTTGAACCACAAGGTCAGCAGTTCCAGCTCACCAGCTGCTCCTCGGAAACACTATACAGGGTAGCTATGAGTCAGCATCAACTCAACGGAACTTAAAACAACAAGGTAAGTTGTCAGCAATAATGGATCAGGCAGCTAAAGTTGCAGACAGATACTACTCTGGCCCCATGCATTATTGTTGCTATGGTGGGCACCAGCATGTGACTGCAGTGGCATGGTACAAGTGTGTGACTTCTTACACAGCAGAGGGCAGATCTCACTAAAGGGATTAAGATGGTGTCTTCGATGATGCACATCACATGGTAAATGAGAGCGCTCCTCCAAGACATATGCAGGGTATGCTGGGAAGTACGTTAGAGTGTGTGTCTGAATCCTTTCTGATCAATGGAATTATCATCTGATGCTGTGCATGACTAGACACAAAAAGATGGAGTGGAGGAATCAGAAAAAAAGGGTGTCCAGAAAGATATTTGATCACTGGAAGGGAAGAGAGCTGAAAACAAACTAGCAAAGCCCTGGTCTTTGTCATCCATTTGTCCCAGATACATAAATTACCACTTTTGCTTCCTAACCTTCTGACTTCCACAGTTAAATTTAGAGAAGTACTCTTTTTTTCCTCACCGTTCTCCACAAGAGAATACTTCAGGCATAGCAAAAATGTGAGCGAGCCAAGGTCTAGTGGGGGTTGCACCAGGGCCTGGGCCACTCCTAAAGGAGGACTGGAATAGGGAAGCAGTCAGGAAGCAAGGAAAAGGGAGAGGGAAGGGAGAAGGTACTGTAACCAGAACAACTCTCAAGTGACTTGAAAGTTTAGGAAGACCTCAGGTCAGAAATCTCACCTCTCCTGCCTAGTATCCTGCCCAGTTCAACCATCTGCACTTCTCCACTTCTCTGGGCATCTCGCCTCTGCCCCTTCAGGGCCAGAAAGGCACCTGATACTTCCCTTCAGACTGAGCAGAGGAGTTTTTCCTTTTTCCCCTTTTACTGTACGTGGTCTCCACAAACATGTGTTGGTTCTACTCTGCCTCAGTCATCTCAGTCACACTCCTCTCATGGCAGCCAGAGTCTAGATTCTAGAATGGCGCTGCCTAAGAGAAATGTTCAAGTTGCCAGGCTTAACATGTAAAAGGAAACAAGTGAAATTATTTTAATACGATATTTTATTTAGCCCAATATACCCAAAAGATTGTTCAATCTTAGTCATTAGACAGTTGAAATATTTTGGATATTTTTTTATACTGAGTCTTTGAAATCTAAGTATATTTACACTTACAGCATTTCTCAATTCAGACCATGTTTCCAGTGCTTAGCTGTCACTTGTGGCTGACTTGGTGATGGTGTTGTTAAGTGCCTTGGAGCCAGATCCAACTCATAGTGACCCTGTATAGTGCTTCCCAGGCTTTAAGTCTTTGAGGGAGCAGAAAGCCCAAAGAGCAGCTAGCTGGTGGGCTCGAATGGTCCTTCTGGTTCAAAGACCAGTGCTTATCGTATGGAGCCACCATACTCCCCCCTGGCTGGGTAGCGATTACCATGTTGGACAGTACAGGCTGAGTGTTCTTTGCATTTCTGCATTTAACAGATGAGGCCCAGGAGACTGAATCATTACTATATATTCCCTCTATGCCTCTATACTCCCAAAGCCTGAAGAACAGTTTCAAAGACTAAAAGGCTTACGAAGTTTCAGCCAATGAATGAGCATTACCTTCAGAAGCCAAACCTAGAAATTAACCTTAAACTGATCCCAAATTTGCTGCTGAATCAGCTTTTAGCAATCATAGATCCAGTCAGACATATTTGACCATGGATGTCTCCAGATTGCCCTCCGGCCAGCAGAACACCGACTACAAAATTCACTAATGCATCTCTGCACAGAGCAGCCTGGAAAGGCCCTGATGAGAGGTCATTTAGCGCTGACGCTCGTGTTCTGGTGGGTTGAGTACCACATTTGGGACTGAAAGGAGCTAAATGTATTTGGTGCAATAAGAAACACCTTCTTGTGATAGGTTCTAGCAGCATCGACAAAAAAAATCACATGGGAAAAAGACTGAGAAAATTATTTCCATTAAAACATTTCCACAAACTAGGAAAGGACTACTTTTTAATTTTGTTTAAAGGTAGAAAAACGAATATTCTATAGGAACTCTGGTAGCGTAGTAGTTACAAATTGGGCTGCCAAGCTCAAGATCAGCAGTTCGAAACTACCAGCTGCTCCACGGGAGAAAGATGAGGCTTTCTGCTCCCGTAAAGATTTACAGCCTTGGAAACCCTATTTAGGGTCGCTATGGGTCAGAACCGACTCGATGGCACTTAACAACAACAACATAGGAGTATATGTCAAATCCACACAGGAATTTGAATCACCTCATATTACAGCCGAGAAAGAAAGGGGACGTTATTTGTACAAAGTCATCCAGCAAACCCATAGTGGTAGTGATGGACCTTGCATCTTCCACTAATTTCACGGTCTCCACTATTTGAAGGAGATTTCAATGGGAGATATTGTGCCGTCTCCAGAGTACTGACGCGCCCCAAGAAGATCAATCAGCATCCCCCCAGCTCCGACTTTGGTGGCAGCCCCGAATAGACCCTGCCTCACCAGGGCGTAGCGTCACGACTCTCCAGCTCCTGGCATCCTGGGCGAAGGAGGCTGTTCTGCTAGAGCTGTGCTTTCGCCAACTCCACACCTTCCGGAGCCTGGCCTGGCCCAGCCCCGCTGCTGTGGACCGCCAGTTCCTGCAGCAGCTTCCGGCGGGAGGGGAGTCACAAGCAGAGATCACACCCACGAAGGCTGCTGTCAGAGATTGTTTTAAATTAGAATCCCGCCGGGGAGTCATGTCCAGAAGGCGATTTGGCTGTAGGTTAGTGCTGGCAGTCCCGGAGACGATTCTCGACCCCATGATTGCGGTGGGCTTCGCTGAAGAGACGCCTTGGCCAGTCCCCGGGCCAGCTCTGTTCCAGTACGCGCCGTGCCAGCGCCGGCCAGGATGGACCACCCTCCCAGCAGTGCCTGGGAATTGAGCCCAACTCAACCGGGTCTCCAGAGCCTGGCAACGGACCCCGCTCCATATGGATCGCTGGAGGATTGGCAGCTCCATAAACTCCTGACGCTTCTGCGCCGGCGAAAGACAGACAAGCGCATCAAAATTCTACTGGGCCGAGGTTGCCACCCCAGAGAAATCTTCGGCTCCCGGACCCGACTGCAGGGCCAGCCGAGCGCCCGGACCGCTCAGCCTGCGGTCCCTAAGCACCGGGAACCGTTTCCGGGGCGGATGCTTTTGGCAGCTGACCCGGCGCGGCCCGTGACGCGAAGGCCTAGACGGAAGTGCGGGCGGAGGTGCCCGAGCCAGATCCCGAGCCGGGAGCAGGTCTCGGGGGCTCCTGGCTGTGGGCAAGGCTGGGCCTGTCCGCGATGGCGATTCTGTGGGGAGGCCTCTTTCGGCTTGGCTCGGTGCTCAGCCTGCGCTGCCTGGCGCTCTCCGTTCTGCTCTTCGTGCAGCTGTCAGACGCCGCCAAGGTGAGTCCCGCCCAGCCTTAGCTCCTGACAGCGGCGCCTTTACTGCCTTCGGTCTTGGGGAAACTGAGTTTGTCCACCTGTTCCCCACCCTCCGCTCTCCCAGCACAGACAGCCCGACCAGTCACTTCACTGCCCCGCCCCCCTCGTAACCCTTCCGGCTGCTGGGTAGCACTGCTCTCGCCCTCCAGCACTGCCAATCTGATAATTACCACCACCCCACCACCCCGCAGTCCGCCCCCACCCCAGTCCTGACAATACTCCCCTCTGTGCCCCGATAGTCTCCACACCCGCTTCACTCAGCCCTAACAGTGCCCTGCATCCTGGACAGCAAGCCAGCCCGCCTTACTGACATTTCCCATCCCAGCCCCGATGGCGCTCACCTCGACCTTTCCAGCCCTGAGAGCAGCGTATGTTCCACTCTTAAGCCACCCCCCTGCACACTTCCAACCTGCAAGCCAAAATGATAGGAAGCCCCCATCTCACAGAAGTCATCCCGCTTAGGAACTGACTTTCAACTGCTCTCCGAACAGATTCCTTTCTGGTTGTAGGAACTTGCCCCTACTGGAAGTTTCTCCTCCCAGCAGGTCCTACAAAGTCTGTCTCACCAGGTTAATAGCCTCACACCTCACTCTTTTCAGGACTTCCTGGACCCTTACTGTCTTCTTCCTAATAATTTATTGAGCAAGGGCGAAACCAGACTACAGGAGAGATGAGGTTATGGCCTCTCCTCGTTCTATATCTTGTTTCTTCTAGTGTCTAGATCCGCTGGTGTCCCTAGCCATCAGATCTGCCCTGGCCGGACACAAATTTGTGCTTCCTCCTAGAACTTTAATAGAGAGATACTCAGATTTATCCTGCGTAGACGCATCTCCTTTACTGCAAGGTAGTCATGACAAGGCACGCAAGTAGAAGCTTACAATATTCATTTAGAACTGGAGAATCAGAATGAACCATTACAATTACAGTGTTAGTTCAGAGGGTTCATTCAGGCTTTTAGCTTTAACAAGAGGTCTCTCAAGATAAAGGCCTAACTATGGCTTCAGCTCGGTGGAGGTTCCTTGTAGTTGGTGTCTAAGGTCTCTGGTAGCTGGCAGAGTCCTAGCCTTCTGTCATTGAGTGGGCAGTAGTTCAGGGTATATGTAAAAGTCCTCCCTTGGCTTCACACAATAAGGGCCAGCATGACAACGTCAAAGACTAGTATGTTATGTCATTTATTCAGGGTTAGAAATTGAATGTCATATTTTTTTCAAGGTTATAGTTTAGGGAGGTTGTTTAGCTGTCTCAAGGAGAGTTTACAAAGATTAACTATGCTAGGTCTTCTGTTATCACATCTACATGTACTCTTCAGAAACCCTATACAGGGTCACTATGAGTCAGGATGGGCTCTTAACAGCAACAACATCACACATATATTTATAGCATATCAGATTAAAGTCAATTTATAGGTTATTTACCACATTCTTCACATACGTCTATGTATAAGTTCAAAAATTTGTATAAAATTTTCTCATGGTTGATTGTTAATATTAAAGAGCCTCACAAAGGCACACATATTTCCATTTCTAAATTCCTATTAGTGCCTGTTGTTGTTAAGTGCCATCAAGTCAGTTCTGACTCACAGTGTCCCTGTATAGGGTTTCCAAGGAGCAGCTGGTGAGCTTGAACCACCAACCTTGTGGTTCAAACTGACCCTGAAGTCCAGCACATTAACCCACAATGCCACACCAGGGCTCCTGTTAGGTCCTATGAATATGTATTTTGAAAGCATAATAGTGATTTAATATCTCATGAGACTTGGGATTATTATAGAAACCTACAGAACAACATTGATGAGATAGCTTATTAGGAAAAACAGAAGAAATCCACATTAACATAATAGGAAAAGATACATTTGCATTTTTTATAACCAGAAGCTTTCATCAATAATATCTTTTCATTTAGTGACAAGAAAAGACAGGCATTCTTTCTGAAACCTACCAGACTCAAGTCTCCTGACTTTCAAAATATTGCTGATGCCCACCCTCTGCATGTGTCCTATCATCATTTTATGCAGTGAATTGTCATGTATTTATCAGTCTTCTTCACTTGGGTGTGCCCTACTTAAGGCCAGGAACTGTGTTTTACCCTTATCTGAAGTCACTTCAAGGAGCACAGAGTGGCTTAGAGCAAATGCTCATTAAGTGGTTGCCCCTAAGTGATTGCCCAACAAATTATCAACAGCTCTGCCAGATACACCGCTGTATATGGGCGCAGTCAGCCTGGTCGGGGCGCAGTCAGCCTGGTCCTTTGGGGACTAATGAGTCACTGCTTTCTCAAATAGACTCCTCTTTGCTGAGGAAGTAGCTCTTACCCCCTCCATCCAGATATTTAGTCACCTCTTGAAACTCACCTTGTCAGTGTTTGTCCTTTGTCTGTTCGGGATTGAATTGTGTTCCCCACCAAATGTGTGTTGTACATCTTAACTCCTGCCCTGGTGTGGTGCTGTAGGATAAGCACTGGATTGCTAACTGCAAGATTAACAGTTCAAACCCACCAGCCGTCGTTCCCTAGAATCCCCACACAGGCCGCTATGAGTTAGTACTGACTGGAAGGGACTTAAAAACAACAACAACATACCTGTGGATATAATCCCATTTGGGGATAGTGTTTCTTTGTTGTTGTTATTAAGTGCCACTGAGTCAGTTCTGACTTATAATAGCAACCCTACATACAACAGAACAAAGTACCACCGGGTTCTGTGCCATCCTCACAGTTGCTGCTACGCTTGAGCCCATTGTTGCTGCTACTGTGCCACTCCATCTCATTGGGGTCTCCCTCTTTTTCACTGTCCCTCCATTTTACCAGGCATGATTTCCTTCTCCAGGGACTAGAGAATATATCCGAAGTATTAGAGACGAAGTCTGGCCATCTTGGCTTCTAAGGAGCATTCTGGTTGTACTTCTTCCAACATAGATTTGTTTGTTCTTGTGATACCTTTAATATTGTTATATTAATGAGGCCATATAAGTGAGGATGGATCCTAAACCAATCACTTTGGAGATCTCAATGAGCAGATTAGATAAATACAAGGAAGTACAGATGGGGAAAACAACTGAGGAACAGAAACTGAAAAAGAGACAAGGACTTACCCCAGCCTACAGAGAAAGCCTTCCCGTAGAGCTGGTACCCTGAATTTGGATTTCTAGCCTGCTAAGTCCTGGTGTGGTGCTGTGGGTTAATGCGCCAGACTGCAAAGCCATTTGAACTGCAAGGTTGGCGGTTCAAGTTCACTAGCCGCTCCTCGGAAACCCTATCCAGGGTCGCTATGGGTTGGAACTGACTCGATGGCACTTAACAACAACAACAAATCTGGTGTTTTTCTGTAGGATCAGCACTGGATTGCTAACCACAAGGTCGGTGGTTCAAACCTACCATCCAGTCCTCAGAAATCCTATGTAGAGTTGCCGTGAGTCAGAACTGACTCCACAGCACTTATCAAAAACAACAAAACTATGAATAAACAAATTTCTGTTAAAGTCACCCACTTGTGGTATAGGTGTACATTCTTTTATTGCTCTTCACTTCATTGCACTTCACAGATACTGTGGGTTTTCTGTTTTTGTTTTTTAAAAACAAATTGAAGGTTTGTGGCAACCCTGCATCTAGGACGTCCATTGGCCCCACTTTTCATGTGCTCACTTTGTGTCTCTGTTACGTTTTGATCATTCTCACTTAGACTACCTACCCAAAATAGTACCCACTGTCATAGAGTCTCTTCCAACTCAAAGTTACCCTATATAGGGCTTATGAGACTGTAAATCTTTATGGGAGCAGAAAGATTCATCTTTCTCCCATAGAGTAATTGCTGGGTTCGAACTGCCAACCTTGTACGGATTAATAGTCTAGTAATTATCCTACAGCACCACTATTGTTGTTGTTGTTGTTAAGTGCCGTCGAGTCGGTTCCGACCCATAGCGACCCTGTACAGGGTTTCCGAGGGTGTAAATCTTTACGGGAGTAGAAAGCCTCATCTTTCTCCCGCGGAGCTGCTGGTAGTTTCGAACTGCTGACCTTAAGGTTCGCAG